CACAGAGCAATATTTTCTGCGTACTGAACTGGACAAACACGGACAAACTTTGTCATCATCACTTGACGGTTTAAACTTCTGCCTAGGCTTAGCCCAAGTGCCTGCACTAGCACATATTTCCCCGCACGTCTCCGAGCAAGCGCGCCCGTGGCCGAATGGTTCTCGTACTTGGTTCCCACACAAAGGGCCAAGGTTCGATTTCTGGCCGCGCATGCACCTTTTTGTTAATGTCCCGCACATCCACCAAAATTTCACGAATGACAGATGGTCAGGTGACGAATGAACAGAAACTACACGTTTAATTTGGCAAACTTGTGCCGAAAACAAAAATACAAAGAGGTAGCATCACAGGCATCGAAGGTCGGCGGAGTGGCACGATCGAGCGCAAGAGCGAGACTCTCTCTGTATCGCCACGCAGAGCCCCTCATGTATATGCGTGGACTTCTGGAACAATCGGCATAGAAAGTTCGGTGCATAGAACATTCTGACTTTGAACAAGCAATGGGATTCTTGAATTAAACCAGAATGCAACATTTACAGAAATAACAAAAAGGTGCATGTGCGGCCAGGCATCATACCTCAGCCCTTTGTGTGCAAGCTAAGCACAATAACCATTCGGATACGGGCAAGCTTGCTCGGAGACGTGCATGGCAATATGAGCAGCCTCTGCCATTAACCACATCTGACATGTACGAAGTGGTGGTCACCAACACGGTGCCCTTGGAAGTACTCAAAGGTCTTGTCTTTTATACTGACATGACATTACCTGCAAACCATGTATGCATGCTACTGAAACTGTGTCATGTCAGCTGTGCACCAGTCATCAGGTAGAGCTGCAGCGGAAAAAGATAAGCACAAGCGACCAACAACAGGAGCAGCGAAATCGCGACACACGGTGGTGGCAAGCATTGTTTGGAGAACCGTAGAAAGAAAACCTGTGTCATATGGCACTAATGAATTATTCCAGGCAAAGTTTCTTCGTCCTTGCTTTATTGAGTTACACCCAAAGCAGCTTGGGCTCACAGTCTTTGTTGTTTGCTCAATGCAATGCGGAAGAGCTGGACTTCCACAGCACCAAAAACATTGACGGGAACAACAGTTAACTTGTCATTGGGAATCAGTTATGACAGACAGTTATACTAGCATAAAGGAAAGTGAATGCAGGACTCTTCTGTTTTCGCTCCTTTTCATTTTCGCACCTTGTGTTGTGTTTCGAAGTGAGTGATTTCCAACTTTTCGCTTTCCATATTTCATGTGATGGACAGAGCAGGCCTGTCTGTTGCAAAGTAATTGGATCATGCTAGGTGCACATTGCTCAAGGCTGCTTGCTTCATAGGTTGCGTGTTGTACTGGAAGACCCACAGCATGAGCTTGCTGGTCTGAGCAGTTCCTTGGTTAGGGAGGTGCCCGCATAAACAAAATGCCTTACATGAGTCTCGCATTCTTGATATTTCCAGCACTGCATAAGAGTTCTAAAAGAAGATAAAAGCAGTGGTATGCCATACACTACTGCTCACCACACCCCTGGGATTCCCTTGTTCTATGGAATTTTTGTAACATAGTTTTTAAAAATGCTTGTTTTTATAAACATTCACCCTTTTCGTGTACTTTGTTTGCAGGCTGTGGAGGGAAAGCAGCTGCAGATAGCCAGCAGTCATCTTCACTGACCACACTCGTGCTGCCCCTCATGGGGGTGCAGAATTTCCATGCACAATAAAACATGCTCCCTAGGCACCATTTTGCGTCTGTCATGATTTCAGTATAGCATGGAAAAACGGTTTGCAGCACTACCTTGGTCATACCCGACAAAATTGTCATACATCGAATACAAATTTTGGGTCAGGAAATCTCGGTGCAATTGTTTATGTGCCGGGACTCATATCTCGACTTCAGATGTCGATGTATATTTCATATACAGGGAACCAGAAATTTCACAATTAACGGTGACACGGCGGTGCAAGTTCAATCGTCCAGATACCAGCAACCACAGTTAATACTTCACCTTTTCTTCCTCTATGCTTGGAACAATTACTGTTAGAGACAGAATGCTTATGCAGTCAATGGGAAACAAGATGACACCCATGAGGAGGCCCTCTTTTATTCTCTATTCTAATGCCTCGACGTTTCGCTTGTGCGGTTTGCATTTTTGCAAGGTTACCCTGCCAAAAACATTGTGCTAAAAAGCTTTTTCAGAAACATCAACTTATTACAAACTTTCATTTTTAGGTGCTTGAACTGTCTTTTAGGTAAACCACTCTGCAGCCAAAGGGACTTACCGTGTCTACTTGATTTGGCAAGTTACAAAGTATGTCAAAACATTGCAAGCGGATACACACAAGTATATTTCGCAGATGTGACGAGAGACAAAGCTCGTAGTAGCCTCAACAGCTGCCAGGCTTCAAGTTTGAGCAGGGATACCCTGGTAGGCAGCACATACTTGCAGAGGTGGCCACCTCTCAGATTTTCAGCACTGCACAGCGTGTCCTCTGCTGTCAAAGCTTACACCGTCCTCGGGATCGGACTCTTGGGGCTCAAGGGAGAGGCCCCAAAATAGAGGTATACAAGCCCGCATTGTGCAGAAAGTCAAATGATGTTGCTGTGCCTAGCACCTTTGCAACCACCGGAACCTGCTTTTCAGCATCCTATTCACTGCTCTACGTCGTCTACGACAGAATCCTAAGCAATGCTTTTTGTTAAGCTTGGCCTCAGAACAGCAGAGCATCCATTGGGGTTGCGAGGAATTGGTGTGCAAACATGGCTTCAGGGTTTTGTCGCTGTCACCTGCACAAAACAGTGAGGCGGTATCTGACATGAATGTTTTATAACCTTTTCAGTTGTCTAAAAGCACATCAAGACTAGATAGAAATTCTATATGCTAATGCAGCCTCTACATGGAGATAGTAGTTGCATAGCATCCCAAAAACGCTGAAAATGTAATAATAAAAAAGTTGGAAAAAAAGTGGAGATATTCCACTTGTCTTGCACAATACCCAAAACTATGCCTTCGGAGCAAAGAGGTGTCAATTGAGTTTATAATCTCTTTATTTTCCTTTATATACAAAGGTGGGAGATGGGGCATATAATGTCAAACGTCAAGCTGCATGGCTTGCAGCTTGACGAGGCGCCCTACCCGGTGTGGCAGAAAAGCAGCAGAAACGTTTCAGACAACACAAGCAAAGAACAAGATACTGTACCAGTTTGAACCTGCAATCGTAAAATGAAAACGTACACAACGTGCTGCAGCAGAACAATTTCCAGATTTTGAGGCTCGAGACATTTGGATGATACACATATGCAATCACGAGTAAGCTTGAATCCGTGAGACTATCTCACACGACACTCATCACACAAATCACGGTGAACGAGGCACCCGTTTTCTACCGAGAGCTCTCGTGCAAGCGCATTGAGAAAATGAGTATTGAGCACTTACCGACAACACCGCTGAATTAGCATCGCTGAACTTCTTGGTCGTCGTCTTTCCGTCTTCACTTGGCGCGCGAAGCCCACCCACCTTCAGCCCCGGGTTATCGATTATCGCCTCTGTAGCATCCAAAGAATGCGACTCGCAGCACACCGACGCATGGTGACGTCTTCGTCGCAGCAAAATGTGCCGCCAGCAACGCTCAAAAAGAGCACTTGCTGCTCGGCGGTCACCATATGGGGCCCCTCGCGACGCCGCCAAAGCTTCCACGGCAAATGTCAGCACCAGCGAGTGTCGGGCAGTATTCCCCGATTACGTCCCTGACGAACCTTGAACGGCGAACACATAAAAACGTAGCGGTAGTCCGCTTTGGTCCGCCCCGTCCGCGAGCTTGAACGTCGCCATCTTCATTGACTTTGGCAACTTTTGCTGCCCGACTACTACAAAGTTATCTCCATCGCCAAACTCAATCGTGACGACATTTTGACGTCACCGCGAACTTCATTATTTCACCAGCATAGCTCGAACTCCATCGGAATCCGTAGGGAAAAACTCAATCGCAACGTCACATCACGTGACCAAAAGGGCAGCCAATCAGCGACCGATTGAGTTAACTTCATCGTTGAGTTTGCGATCTAGCATAGACAGAGTACGAAGCTACGTAACATGAATTATTTGAACTGACTGCCTCAAAATTTGTCGCCTCTGCAGTTTGCACTTTGATGTATATAAAGTTTATTTGCTTGCTCGTTCCAAAAAGTACTAAAATCAAGATTTTTTTTTTTTTTTTTTTAATTTGTCTTAAAATCTTTAACCCAGCGTTTTGGACTTTTGTTCTACGTTGTAAAGGACTTACATTTATTACTTTTAAAAAGTGATAGACCATTCTTTATAGTTATGCTGCGCACTTTAAGATGTTTTAACTACTCGGTGTAGTTCGTTTTTTCCGAATTGTCGATGTAATCGTTGCGTTATTGTTTTGATGTTTTAGATTTGTATCCGTAATTTGTATTATGTGCAAGTTTTGGTCTGCTAGCACCACAAGAGCATTGCTGTTCCTTGGCACCTAATAAAATTGATTCTTGAATCGTGAATATCATTAATCACTGACCTGTGAATACAGTCAATTCCTCAAAAGAAAATACAACGTTTTTATGTGTTCTATTTATTACGTGCCATAGCTTCCAACGGCTTTGAAAATCATGCGACGAAGACCTCTAAACCTATCAATAATAAATGTAATTATTGCATCGCTTGCAGCGAACAAACAAATTCAAAATGATGTAAATGAGTTTAGGTCTTCATGGTGGAAAAACATACTGTATACAAATATTGCTAAAAATAAAAGTGACAGTATTTACTACCGCTCGTAAGGGCAGTTCTGAAGATTGGCCAACATATTAACCTTGCATGCAACCGTTCTGTAAGTCGTACGAGGTTTCTTATCATATAATTATAGTTTATGATTCACTTAAACTTTGCCGCTACAGGAAAATCAGTATATATTTTTTTAAGAATCTTACGCATTCTCTTGCCACTGCGTTTTGTGCCGGAAGTAGCCTGACCGTATTTAACGAACAAACAATGGCGGCCCCGTTTCTGTTCCGGAATGCTGTCATCTGTGCGGCCTTGCCGCTGCCAGCGCGCGCTAGCATACTAGCGCAAACTTCCGGTGCCGCAGAAAAAGTGCCGATCCGTCTCTTTTCGGCTCTCCCCGCAAACACCTGCGCCTAGTTTCACTGGGCGCGTCTGATGACCGGCCGTGCTCGGTCAGAGTCCCAACCGATCTGGCGTTGCGAGCCACGATCGGCTGTTGCCTTGTGACGAACTGCTCCAGTTTTGGTGGACGACGCGAAACAGACGAGGCTTCGTTCTTTGCTCTGGCAACTGGGATTGTAACGTGTCGGCGCGACTCAACGGATTCTGCCTCCACCGAAGATAAGGTTGTTAAGGCGGGGAAAAGCCGATAACAATTTATCAGGAGCGCGCTTTTTTTTTTCTTGCTACACTTCAGCGCCTGCGGTGAACCTGTCCTGGTGTGGTATGCCTGCGAGCATCGGGGGTTAAGCGTCTCATGAAGAACAATGTCGATGGCGATCAGCGATTGGTGAGTCCTCCTTTGATGTAAAGGGCTGAAGAATATGTCGCTGCCTGCTTTGATCTCACTAAAATATGGCGTTGCAAAGAGTCCAGTAAGACTTTTCTAAGCTCTTATTATACGACGTATAAGACCTTCGTACGGCCTCCGAAATATATAAAATTTTGGGAACGCAATTTGATACTTCAGATGATGCTGCAAATGTCGTACCAGTCCCAAGAATGTATTCATTCGTACGGTCCGTTACAACGGAATAGGCTTTACCAGCTAAGAGGAACATTTGTGCCGACTACTATTTGGCTGAAGTAATACACACGAATGAGTCGTGTATTTTACAATTTATCTATTTTGTTTTTAAATGTTTTCTCCTCGAAGAGCAAAGTCACTTCCAAACCTTTATCAGGGTTATCTTTTTTTTTTCTCTCCTAGCGCTTATTTTGCAAACCTATCTATTGTTTTAATCGTATATTTGGTTTATCTTCTTCATTCAATGCGTTTTGTACTGGTTATTAACAATACTGTTTCAACAATATTACTTAAAATGAACACTATTCTAATTCATCCATTCATTTTTGCTTCATTTTTAGAAAAGCAGCATGCATTATTTTGTGCACTCCCGTGAGAGATTAAACGGGTACTTGCTTTGCTGGCGTGTCCAATATCCAAATGAAATGTGTGTCACTGATGTTTTAAGACGCCCGTTATTTAGATATCAGCACGAATAACGACCGCGGCAATTGCTTCTTTCTAATACAAACTAACTTAAATAACCTTCGTGGGATATATAAACTTATTTTTTATTCTGACGCTGGTTAGAATAGTTACTTATGCATTTATTTCTATTTTTTTCACGCGAATATTAGGGCGAGTTGATTAAACACATGCAAAGATTTTTAATTTCTATTATACACACATATTTGTTTATACTGGTCGTTTTATTATCTGGCACGCAATACATCAAACTATTCTGAGAATACGCAGCGTAAGAAATTTTGTTGTCTTTCCAAAACAAAATATCACGAGCTACAAAAATTTCTCATTTGAAGAGTTTTATTAAACGTTCAGGGAGAAAAAATTTATCTAGAATCGAGATTGCGCATTTTCGCAAATCAGTAGAGACATCAGTTTCTTTGGTTGCGGCTTTTTTATCCGAAAAAGGCGTACGGCATCTCTATTATGAAAGCAGTATATAATACGCGAAGATGATTGAAACCATTTATCACGGCATATTCACCACCTGGTTGTTTCGGCTTCGGTTGCTGGGAGCGAATCTCGGGCTGACGTCACGGTTAACGCACATACACCAACCCAGTGTTTCCAGAGGAGCCCGCTTTGTCCACACCATGCAGGTGAGGGCGCTGCGCGTGTGGAGAAGCTAAATTCGGGGGAAGTGAAACGTCTGCGCATGCGCAATACCGACAGCAGCGCCACCGCAGAGGTGTGACGTCAGAGAGTTGAGTTGGTCTATAAGGTGCCGCTCACCTGGATTGGGAAAGCAGTGACGCAGTTGTGGCTCCGTCGTCCGCTCTATTTCTAAGCACTGGGCTTCAGGATTTGTTGGTGCCACGTGACCGCAGGACACAGTTGGGCTTCTCTAATGTCACTCCAAAAAACTGGCTCTCAGTCATCCAAACCGAAACCAATAAAGCGATAATAGGTTCTTACACAATCTTGGCCTAATATTAATAATAAATGAAAAGTCGCAAATATGATCAAACAAAAATCCATATTTACTTATTATTTTCCTTTCATTATTGTAACACTATACCAGCACCTTGTTTTATTCATCAAATCTTGAGGTAATTTACGCTGTGTTTTGAAATTAAAGACGCCCTACGCCTTGTTTACACTAACACAATGGCTGAACCTCAACATGGCTACAAAGAAGAAAGCTGAGCGGAATTCGCTCTCGCAAATATAATGAAGAAAATTTCAACGGAAATAGAAAACCGATATATATGCTCGGTCTTTGTCTCGATTCTAGAAAGGCATTTGTTTCAGTACAGCGCGAAATTTTAATTTTAGAACTAGTCGCAGTGCCTACGGGAGGTTCCGGTTAGTCTAATGATGTCTTACCTATGTAATACAGCTTGTTTATATGAACAAAATTAATTCCTTGACATTTGAAGTAAGACATAATGTGCCTCGAAGCTGCATATTAGGCCCACTTCAGTTTCTTATATACCAATGACACGATAAATATACAATATTTTCCAAATATTGCGATGGACACTGATGGCATAAGCGTTTTCTTCAACGGCAGCGCAAAGACAACTTTACAGCTACAGGCAAATTTTTATCTAGTGAAACTTTTAAGACGGCTTAGAAGGAATGAACTTCAGCTTAATGTGGGCAAAACAAAATACATTATATTTAGCCCCATCAATAAGCAAGATAACTTTACAATACCACTGAAATTTAATAATATCCACAAGGACAAAAGTTTTATATATATATATATATATATATATATATATATATATATATATATATATATATATATATATATATATATATATATATATATTTAAGATGCAGTTTACCTGGACACCTGTGTGACTAAACTAAGAAGTGATTATTGAAACCGGTAGGTTGTATAGACATATATCAAATTTAATACACAACTGACTTTAAAAACAATTATTCGCTCTTTTATTCGAAACTTTATTAAATTCTCCTGGGAAGAACAATAAAAAGTCTACAATTAACAAATTGCACTCAAGAAAACGGTGCTACGTATTTCTGAAATCAATCATGGTAATATTCCTTATTTTCAGAGGAGTTTATATTTTAAAAAGCACATGTTACTTAAAAGAACAAATTTGATTGTTCATACATTTATGCAAAGAATGTACAAACGGAAGTTTTATCAAATATATTAAGCACCTTAACAACACTATTAATCAAGAGATACTAAACGAAACTCGCTGAAAATAAGAACGAATTTCGGAAAACAAAAATAAATTATTATGTTCCCGCACCGCTAAACATTTTTGGAAGCCATGCCGTCTTTTTGTTATCATTTCATGCATACCGAACGATGAAAAACACAACGTTTATTCTCAATAAAAATGTTTTCGAAAGCAGCATTTCAAACTCTCACGATTTAAAACATTTGTACTGAACATGGCAGCATTCTGATTTTTTTTCTTTTTCGTTTTGTGGCAGCGTATAAAAACAGTATTTTTGTGCCACAATCATGAGTCCAGTGTTTTTTATGCTTCACTAAGGAGTCATAGATTATTGTTAATTTATAAATTAACTTTTGGACACGTTATTTTTTATTCATAATTGCGCAAATAAACCTTTGGGTCATACGCTTTTTCAAGGGCGCAATACCGAAGCTTGGGGAGCGCCGAGCGAAGGACATGAACACATCGGAATAGGCCACCGCACCCTCCCACCTCTAGGCTTACTTCCAAAGGGCGCTGCCTGTACCGCGAGCCACGCGCTCCTCTGTTCGCATTTTATTTTTCCCTGATAGTACACTCGAGCTAACCAACGCGTTCAAGGATTCAGTTTACACCCCACCCCAAGAAAATCCATGACCCTGTCTTTTGAGTAATCACTGACTCAGTCGGGTAAAAATGTCTTTTTAAGTATAACTTTTAGCTTCAGAAGTAGCTTAGAGTTCCAAAAAATGTATGGAAAGTTTTAGCATAATCTATGAAAAAACTTCAACTTGACCTCTCTTATCCTGCAATGAGGCAATGTCGGATGGGAGTTTCAGCAATTGCGTTGAACTTGAAAATTTGCGACGAAAACCTTGCTGTTGGGGACAGAGAATTTAATGACCTTCAAGATACTCGGGGATATGTTTATGGACTGCAGGTTCCTGAAAGGTACAGTAGGTAGATGTAAACAAAATGGATCTATCATTTATGAAGCCACAACACTACGGCTACTGTGACTTTTTCTTTATTATTTAATATTTATTTATTAAAATACCTGCATCGCCTGAACAGGCAGTATAGTAAAGGTCAAAGGCAAAAAATGTTACATTGCAGATGAAAACAAAGAAACAACTATATATCAAGTAACACACACCGTTTAAAAATATGAAAAGACAATGAAGCGGGAGAAATGATTAAGTCGTTTTGAACCTTCTGAAAAACTGCTCGGACAATGTTATTTCCTGTTTTGTTGAGCCTGTTTAACATTTTTATTGTTCATAGAGATGTATGTATATTTCGTCCGCATAAATGTGCTAGGCTGTCAAGCTCGCTTGGACCTTTGCATTAATTGCATTGTCATGCGAGATGCTATTTTTCCTGCGCGTATCGATATTTTTTTACAATTGTATTTACTTTTTGCCAACTACTTGGGGTAGAGGCCTCATCGATTCAGCTCGAAACTTTATGTTTCTATTTTCTTATTTATTTATTGCATTTGTGGGCGGCCAGCATACATTACCTGACGTCACCATTCAAAACCATGGACAAAAAATTCTTACAGGGTCAAAACTTCATATGGCAGTTGCCTGATTAACCTGACGGCTTGATAGTAACGGTTTGTCTGCTACTGAAGTTCATCGCATAGGCAACTCCTACCTTATGCACATTAATGACTGAAAAAATGGATTGTTGCCGAAATCACTGCGATAATTTTCGTTGAAATGCAATAGTATTTTGAATCATCATGGGCTCCGTAATCGCATTCGAAGCATGAAATACTTTCAAATGGAACCCCCTAATTCCAATTTTTTTTCGTCTATCCGTTCGTTTCTGCTTTTCGCCGCTAAATATATAGAAGAAATTGACGTCACGGGACATCAAGGTATCGCGTGATACCAGAATTTGATGGGATGTCAGGTCATGCGACCATGTCGCCGGATGTCCAATCACGTGAGAATATCCACGCCAAATATAGCTGCGAAATGCATGTCACTTGGCGTTATGGTATCGCATGACACCAATACTTAAAAGTGTGACGCCGATTTCCTCACCAAAAACTAGCGAGGAAAGTGGTATCACTTGATTTGCCGCCATCTGACCTCACGTCATGTAATCTAACGTCTTGTGACCTCACTCCACAAAATTGCTATTTAATGTATTCGAAACAATTTTAAAGGGTAGCTCTTTGAATACTGCATGTCGTTCATTTTTGTACAGAAGGTGGAGGTCACTGGCAACATGTTACTAAATTACTTTCAGTGTGGAGCGAAACGTTTTGGGATATGTTTAATTGACGTCCCGGAAGTCTTCTATATCGTTTAGACTCTATGCACCTAATTTTTTTATTGAACTCTTTATTTCCAGCGGACGGATCTTTCATGACCCACCAACCACTTCCTTTTTTGTAAAATCATTGCCACAAAAATCTTTTTATTACTATACGTATAAAGATAAGCATAAAACTCGAAGCTTGCTTTACTCGCGTATTCCGCGGCTGGTGAAAGAAATGTTAATAAAAGTCGAGGCGCAACAAAGAGCCGTAGGCGCAGTGGTTGAGCCTCGGGCTTAAAATCTTAGGGTTCTATTTTCTTCTGGGGGCGTTCGGAGTTTCTAACTCTCCCACCAATGCGCATTTGTTTATTTCATTCAAAAATAAGGACGGACATTGAAGTATGTAGCGTTTACTCATCAACGCATTCGAAAGCCTTCCACTTACGCTAGCAGCAAAGCACCAAAAACGACGAACGAGAATAGACCAGGGTTTCTAATAATTCTCAAGCCCAGTACAAGCAACCGAGGTTCATTCGTTCCCTATTTCAGCAGCTCGTATTGCTTTTCGCGCTGCATGTGTAAGCTTAGCGTTGGCCACCAGTAATGGCCGTTTGAAATATAAAAAGAAAATACCTTACTCTTAGGGCACAGGTTACGCGTTCCTTTGAGAATCAAGTAACTTACTTGCTTATTCCTCAAGTGAATAACGAGTACATGTTTGCTTTTATTTTCCGAAAATGAATGTGTATGAGTGCAAAAAAAAATATTTACAATCTCCCTTAATGCTACCATTATTTGTTCATCGTTATTCGTTATTACTGGGATGATGTTCAATCAACGAACAGCACCCAGTCACAGGTAACTAAAAAAATGGCGCAAAGGTGAAATCCAAAAATATGAAAATTGCGACGTTTCTTTGACTATTTTGTTAGATAAACCCGCGAGTAATAAGGAAAAGAAGCGCATGCCTACTTGACCAATAGCGCGTATGAATAAAGATTCAGCACAATTATGGACAAGCAACTGCTCGCAATTCTCTCCTGCTCTTGCGTTTCCTGCTGGTCAGCCGGTTAGCAGGAAGCATTGGTTGCTCGGTAACGTTTCAATCCGGCACCGAGTGCCCCAGAGCGCCAGATCCAAGGCCTTCGCGACCCCTGAAGGCGTTCTCGGGAACAGGCGGATTCCGTTGACGCTGGCCGCGATCCTGGGTTGCTGGGCGCCGTGGCGTTCCCCATCGGCGGAGGCGGCATCTCCTCCCTGCGACGCCTTCGACGACATGCAGGGGCTATGCAGGTGCACGTTGCAAGAGAAGACACCGACCAACGACTCCCATAATCAAGTATGGGTGACCTGCATCAACGTCACAAGCCTGGAACACCTGTCTCTTGTATTGAGTCCCATGCGCGGCAGGAGAATCGACAAATTCCAGCTGGGTTTCTCCAGGGTACGCCGCCCTCTCTAATTTCGCTACCATGGCCGCATGCGGTAGATTTATGGACAATAACTTAACATGTGTTTTAATCCTCGGGATACGCGTAAGAAGCTAGATTATTGAAACTTAATCTTAGATTATTATGTTGATAGAAAACATTATTATATAATGTGTTCAGTATACTCAAACAGCTTATAAAAATAAAGCAGGTCGTATGTAAGTTTTTTATACTCAGTCATACGTTATCGACTTTTTATTGAATATATACAGGTACTTGTAAAAAGTTTGTAGGTATGAAACAAAAGTAACACACTCTTCAGTGACCAAAAAGGAAGAGTAGAGGATATAATTATAATGCAGTAAAATGCGAAGGTGCAAGCGAGCTTGACAAGATTGACGAAAATAATCCCTGGAGAAGGGGAACAAGAGGGGCAGAGGACAAACATAAATCTCCAAACACAGCTAGGTGACTGGTGAGCGACCGAAAAAATCCGCCTGGTCCGGGTATCGAACCCGGGACCTCTCCATAACAGGTGGAGTGCTCTACCAACTGAGCTAACCAGGGGTTAGACGTCAGTAGAGCAAGCGTGTTTTACCAGCTGCCACTACTCTAACACCAACAAGGGTGAAGCTTGCAAATTTAAGGTTATAATAATAATGTAATTAAATGCAAAGGTGCAAGCGAGCTGGACAAGGATGACGAAAATAATCCCTGGAGAAGAGGGGATAAAGGACAAACATAAATCTCCAAACACAGCTAGGTGACCGGTGAGCGACCGAAAAAATCCGCCTGGTCTGGATATCGAACCCGCGACCTCTCCATAACAGGTGGAGCGCTCTACCAACTGAGCTAACCAGGGGTTAGACGTCAGTAGAGCAAACGGGTTTTATCAGCTGCCACATGTCTAACACCAACAAGGGTGAAGCTTGCAAATTTAAGGTTATAATTATAATGCAATTAAATGCAAAGGTGCAAGCGAGCTGGACAAGAATGACGAAAGTAATGCCTGGAGAAGGGGAACTAGAGGGACAAAGGACAAGCATAAATCTCCAAACACAGCTATGTGACTGGTGAGCGACCGACAAAATCCGCCTGGTCCGGGTATCGAACCCGGGACCTCTCCATAACAGGTGGAGCGCTCTACCAACTGAGCTAAGGAGGTATTAGACGTTAGACACACAAAGAGGAAGATAAAAAAACGCGACTTCACATGGGACACTACTTCCATTGTTGTTTCTAAATTTACAGTCGCAAGGGTATTGCGAAAGGTTCCAAAATCTCAAGTATGACCTGGTTTGACAATGCAACGCTTCTTACTCTTCTGGTAAACGCATAAATCTCGAACTTTTCAGACGTTTTTTTTGTTTTTTTATTATTCTCTACAAAAACAAATTGCACTTCCTTTGGAAGATATTTCAACCACACCATAAATGACAAGTCGAAATTAAAACTTTACAGTTCATCAAAAAGATAATTGAAAGGGCATAGACATTATCACAGACATTCTTGCAATTCCTGAATGTAAAAGTAAGTGCTCATGCACCAAACGAATAGTAAATAAAAAAAACTCGCGTGGACACTAAATTTGCTTAGCCGATAGAGCCCGCCCAGGCAAGCACTGAATAGGTCCTCTAATGCCGTGTGGGCACACTCAGGTGGGCTATGTGCCCAGCAACCTGTTCCTGGACATCGCAGTTCAAGACCTCCAGTTCTGGGACTCCCCTCTCTCCACCTTTGTCCTGGGCGACGAGAGGGCCTTCCTGGGCCTCGAGTCCACGCTTCGCTGGCTCTCCATGCGCCGGTGTCGACTCAACAGCAGCCTCCCTTTCCAAAGGTGGGCAACCACGAAATTCTCGCCGCTGGTCGGGCCCAGTCGGCACTACCTTCCACGCACACTGAGGTCGGCAATCCAGTGCTTGGGATATCAGCAAACATTGTGCCATCTAAAATTTCATTATGGACATTGGGCTCTGAATTGTAGCTTTAGGGAGATCAGTACACGTTCTGCCAGAAACCATACTATCAGGCACATTTCGCTCCTCAAAATAACGCTGGTGAGATCAGCACACATTCGCCTAAAAACTCAATATTACGAACACTGGGCTTTGCAATACAACTTATAGGAGACCAACACACGTTGTGCTAGAGAACGTGCAATCACGCACAAAAGGGTAAACAATCTAGGATTGGGAGATGAGCAGCCATTTGCCAGAAAATGTGAAGTTGCAATCACTGGGCTTTGTGATATAACGCTGGGGGGACTAGCCCACATTCTGCTAGGTAACGTGCAATTACATACTGGCTTTGATAATGTAGCACTATGGAGGTCAGAACAGATTCTGCAAGGAAATGTGCTACTAGAGACACTAAGATTGGTAATCCAGCGTTTGCGAGATCAGTTAAAATTCTGCTAGGAAACTCGCTATTACACACATTGGGGTTGGTAATGCAGCGCTGGCGGGATCAGCGCATATTCTGCTGGAAAACGCACTATTATGAACACTGTGTTCGCTAAGCGAGCGTTTCGGAAAGAACACACATGCTGCTAAGTAAATGTACTGCTACAGACACTAAGTTTTGTCATTCAGCGCTTTGAATATCAGTAGACATTCTGCTAGGAAAATTTCTATTACACACACCGGGTTTGTAATTCAGCTAGAAAGATCAGCAGACATTCTGCTAGAAAACGTGCCATTACGCAAGCAGGGTTCGGCAGTCCACCCTCTCGTAAAAACCATTCTGCGAAATGACTGGAAATGATCATAAAATGGCAAATCCAGCAAAGATATTGTGGATTACATGTTCGATGTACGCTTCCCAGCTTTCAGCGACTGGAATCATGCACCAGAAATTAATATTTAAATTTGACGAAGTGACGGAGCTGCAAAATATTTTGCCTCGAAAAATAACTATATCTGATAGATCGAACCAATCTGAAAAAGTATTCAATCTGGGTGTATCTAATCCGGTCGATGGGTGCTGGAAAACACTTGGAAATGAGAAATCCAGTTTAGAAGAACTAGAAGTTTACCGGATATTATTTAAGTGAACGAGTGCAATGAAATATTCGTGTTTGAATAAAAATAAGAATATACAATATTTTTAAAGTTTTCATTAAGTGCGTGACTTAGGCGATAAATTGTAAATCAAAACGTTCAAACAATCTATCTCTCTGAAATGTAAATTCAGTCATGTTAACGTGGCAACTTGGGTGCAACTTCTATCAATGTATTTTTGGTACATGGTCATAGGCACATAATTAGTCTGAATAAGTGTATGGTTAGCAATTCTAACATTGCAGAATTTATCACCTGTTATGATGAGAGACTTAAAATACATCTTGGTAGAACTCTGTCTATCGGCATAGTTAGGGGCATGACATACGTCCCACAACCTGCTCGGACGCGGCCCCCAAACATCAAGCGGCTGCGAACCCTTTTTCCCATGTCTGAAGTGCTATATGTTTCATAAATTATAAGATCATGTCGTAATTTTATTTACGCGTAAGATATAGCTCTTTACTTATAACTAATTTACATATTTTTTTATGTTTCGTTTTTTTTAACTGTGTATTGGTTTGCATTAATCTTTGCTTTCGATCTCGTCCTCATGTTAATCACCTGTGCGACAATCTCACTACTATGCTACAAGTGCGGGGTCTTTGGAAGGTACCTTGGCTGCACGTTCTGTTGCTCAGAAGGGGCAGCCTTAAAAGATAGAGCTATGAGCTTATTTTTCTAGAAGTCGAAAACTGCAATTAAAACAGAAGAATTGCCTAATGATGTTGCTATAAAAATTATTAAGCAAGCAGAAACCGTCGTATTAAGTTTTTTTAAGGAATGTTGAAGTTGATCAGTTCCCGAGAAAATTGAGTGACACAGCAACAAGAGTATGCTTGCTCTCATTTTAATGAAAACTGCAAGCAAGTCAGGGGTGCGGTGCCATTCCAAATTTCATGATCACATCAGGAATGGGCTTAAAGTAGTCGCATTAAGAGAACCAAACTAAAGATGCAAGTTTCAGCAAAGCAGAGAGCACGAGTTCCCTCCTCTAAAACATCTCGCACGTGCCACTGAGACACTCAGCTATATTGCAAAGTGAAAACCACTGTCGTTTTATTTATTTTTTGTCCTAAAACCGAATCTTCCTTTTCTGCCTTGGCCTTTGACCTTTTGGGGGTGAATTATCTGGCGCCAGCACGCGTACGAGTTTGACAGACCTGTAGTAAATCAAGTACAACATCAGCAAAGTAATGGAAGTATATTCGGAAGAGGGGTACAATATACGCGCAGGGTCCTTTGTGCAGCACAAAATCAAGTAAAAACAGACGCAGTGAAGCAATGCTGGAAAATCAAAGAATACAATTCTTTCTCATTAGCCCAACCATCGTAATTAAACTAGCCCAAAGAAAAACGATACAGAGTTATCGAAAAATTCGCCACACCATTTGCAATATTTTCACAAACAAAGAGCCGTTGAATTGACTTCTTCTAAAGAATGATAGTATGTCCTCTCCAAAGGCTGATTGTTGGGCAAGTTGGTATGGTACGTTAGAAAACAGGATTGCGCTTTGAAGACAGGGACATAGGAAGAACAGACACCACAGAGCGCTCTGTGGTGTCTGCTTTTCCTATGTCCCTGTCTTCAAAGCGCAATCATGTTTTCTAACTCTCCAAAGGGCCGTATTATTGAATTGAGAGAAAAATATTAAAAAGAACAGGAACATGCTACGAACACTTTCCTTATGAAAAGCTACCTATTTCATGCAAAATGGAAAGGCCAATTAGGAAGTCATATTTTCGCCCACAGTGTGCGAAGAAACGAAAACGATAGCTGTAGCTGCCGCTGTGCAATGCGGGGGAATGGTGCCGTTGGGTGCTTGAGGATGGAGGTCTGACGTAGTTAATTCTCGTGGTAGTCGTGGTTGGCATCGTGGAGGCTACTGACGCCTGCCACCAGTAATCCCTGAAGTAAATGGGTAAGCGCAGTGCAGGTTTCTCAAACCATCCAACATTACGTGCAGCAAGTGGATACTGCCAAAGTGGGATTTCGCATCACGAGTGTAATGTTTGAAAACAAGTATTTCTAGCAGCCGACCCGACGAGTCGCCCTTGGCTCAGTCCTTGACGAGAGGCCAGGGCTGCCATCTTCGCTTCCTTTCATTCGCTTCGCGCGGCATGGCGGACGTGGAGTCCCGACTTCCCTCTCCGCGCGGCAAAAGGGGACAGAAAAAACGTTTTTCCATTTTAGCGCGCGCGGCGACGTCAAAGGAGGAGTCTGAAATTTCTGCAAATCGTCGGCCATAAAGCAATCGCTTTAAACTATTTGTTTTTGCAAAAAAAAAAGAAAACAATCGTTTCGGACGAAAGCCAAGCCCAAGTGGAAATTGTTAATTTCCGCTCTGTCCACGCCAAGGCTAAGCGGAGTGTTAGCTAAACACTTATGGATCAATTACGTGTCATCTTTGCACCACGTGACTTAGTTCTTTCGACTTTTTGAGCATACAGATGCAAACTAATGCCAACGGCTTGTTGGCCGAGGAAGCGTGTAGTATCCAAAGATCAGTCAACTTCGACGATGAGCCCGACTTTGTTAGCTCGAGCCTTACCTCCCCTAATATTTTGTCCGCAACCCCGCTCAGTTCTCCAGCGAAGTTTGAAGACGGACCCCAAGAAAAGGTGGGGCGAGGGTGGATTCCGGGAAGGGGAAAAAAGTACCAGCCTCTATTCACGCCTGAGCTGACAGTGCAGTGGCAATAACACACACCCCGGACCAGCCAACAGCTTAGCCTCTTTTCTCTGACCGCGCTCCTACGAATGGTAATGGCGAAGGCGTGGTCACGCGGTGAAAGGTAGACGTAAGACTGGTTCAACGAGTAAGTATCTTCCACCGCGCTGTCAACTCAGTGGTGAACGGAGTATACGCAAAACTCAGCTCTGTTACGTCACGGCGCGGTGGTGGCACGTTGAGCGTACTTCCGGTCTGGGGCTGTGGGCGGACGTCACCATGCGGGACGTGCCATCATGTGTTGTTTTGGAAGCAACCGGACAAACACCTGACTTTTCGCCAAAACGCCGCGAATGGGGCTGTACCGAAAGGGTCAGGAAAGGTTCGAGGTTTAGTTTTCACGCGTTTTCTGCCTGCTCGGTTCGTCCGAGAGCGTGGATAGGGACCGTGAAAAAGGAAAACCAGACGTCGTCGGACCACGATTGCTTGTGCGGGAAGCACTTTGGGTAATCTTCACGGATAGTTGTGGTCGTCAGATTTATTTGTTTTGTTCCAACATGAACGGGGGAAAACCGCCAAGTTGTGCACACAACCTGCGGACGACGTTCAGTGCGTCTTCAATTTCAAACGGTCGCCTCATCGTTCGCACTGTCGTCTGCTCTTTCAAAAGTTTCTGCTTGTCGTCTGCTCGTTCGAAGCTCAAACGACAGCGGCCCGTAGGCCAAGTGTTGATCCGGTAATTTCGATAAGAATTAAGTGCAGGCCTCGACAGACTTCTAAGTTCGAGGGTTGGTTAAGGTAACTAGGCTCGGTGTAAACAATAGATACAAGGATTTGTCGATAATTATTACCAGTGGCCATCACCAACTTGTTATTTCTGATTTAACTGGTCCGATTCTACTTGCGATTTTCAGTATCGACATTGACCATCTCAGCTACGGTTTACGTCATGACTGAAAATAGCGAGAATCTCTTCGTGCGAATGAGGCTTCAGCGTCCATTCTGCGGCGTCCATGCGGAATGAATCGCCGAAGGTCACATAATTCACGCGAAGGTTTGCGGTGTACCGAGACTCGTTAATTTCGCTGAGGTCGCTAAGTAGTCAGA